GACAGGTATATATATATATATAGTTGTAATGTCTATATATAGATGTGATGACATCATCATACTTACCATGCTCACAGTTAATACCTCGAAAACCTTTAGCGCATACACAACTGTATCCCCGATCAGTACAATCATTCTCACAAATTGATCCATGTTGACACAAATTGCCATTAGAACATGCTCCAAAATAACTCTGAAATATATTATACTTTTTATTTCATCTTGAGGCACATACATTTTATATAAATTACAGAAGCAGTTTTCAGTCGTTGTTGTACATGTAAAACCTATATGGCTATCTGATATAGTTCAACTTGTATAATGTAAGCCATGTAAAAAGCACTCCAGAAAATCATATACCATTATTTTTTAAGACTAGCGAAACGGTTTTTTTTTTCTCATTGTTCATGATTTACATGTTTGAAACCATATAAATCGAACTATGAATCAATCAATTTCTGTCGGTAACTTTAAATGAAAGTACTGATAAAAATATCAAATTATTTCACAGTACGGTGTATTATAATTCAACGCAATGTTATTCACCGAGTGTTTTAGTTTCGTTGTTTAAAATGTATGTTGATGCATGTGTATGGGGTAGTTAAAATAAAGCATTTTTTTCACTCTTCTTGTCCACGATATGTTGGTAGTGTAGCTGAAGATTTTGATTGAATTGAAAATGGAACTGAAACAGTCGCTGAAAACACAGTACAGTACGCCTTACCTTTCCTGGTGATCGGTTCGGTATTGGCAGGCTATCAAAGTGAACCGAAGACTCGTCTCGTACAAGTCGTCGTGTATTTTTGGCCACCTGGATTGTATACAGACTACAGGTTCCGTCTGCGAACGCGAACGACTTGCACTGAGTGTTTTTTCGACAGAAAACGGAACAAATGTGCATGTCGGTGTTGTTATAAGCCAGTAAGGGGTCAGGCAATGTCCACCGATTACGACCACGATATACTGCCTCTGTTTCCGTATTAGCACAAGGGGGCATATCCGCTCTGGCGAGGGGGATTATAAGCAGAAAATAAAAACATACTTTTAGAACTGCCATTTCTTTCACCATTTCTTCTGAATTTTAAGCTCCAGAATGATCAAGATAATCGTCGGTCTAATAACTTTAATAGGTGAATCATTAATTCATGCGTAATCACCAATGCAAGTTGCATTCTTATTTATTTCAACATCGACCCCCTTGTCGATTAGGCCTATTATACAAAAGAATGTTAGTGGCATGTCCATTGTAATTAACAAAATCGATTTAATTAAATTTCTGCTACATTATCTTCAACGTAGTGATGCATTAACTGGCAAATTGTTGAAAAAGTTATATTTAACCACCAAAAAAAAAAAAAAAAAAAAAAAAAAAACAAAAAACAAACCGTAATAGACTTGCTTAAAAGTTTGTAAAATGTACTTACATTACGAAATGTAGTCTTGTATAAAAAAAAAAAAAAAAACTCGGACGATATGCTGATTACAACATTGTATTTCTCATGCAAAAAATCAAATAGAAAATATTGCGTTAGGGCTATTTGATAATACCATTTAGGTTAGGCCTATACTGTAATAGAAATAAGTTAATATTCGATGAGGTCCCTCAAAACGACAGTAAGCCTACTGTATTAGACTTTGCTATCAACATAAACATTAGAAAAAGGAAAAGAAACAGAAACGGAAAAAGTAAAGAAAGAATAAATGTAAAAGGGAAAAAAAGAAAATTGTGAGGCAAGAAAACGAAAAAAGGAACAAGAGGAAAGTGCATTAGAATGGAAAAAATGTAAAGGAAAGGAAAGAAATAAAAAGAAACAGAAATATAAAAGAAGGAAAAGAAAAGAAAGAAAAGGTAAAGAAAAAATTTATAGGGAAATAAAGGAAAAACAGAAAATAGGAATAAAAGAAAGCAAAGGGAAGAAAAGGAAAGACATGGATAAAGGAAAAGAAAGGTAAGGTAATAAGAAGAAAGGAATTATAAAAAAAAAAATTATCAAATAGATCAGAGAAACTATTAGTATAACATAGATTGACTTTGTCCTTGGTAGCTATATTTAGTATTTAATACCCGCTCAGATCCAATAATCAATAACATAATATGTAAACACAATAAAATGAGCATTGCCCTTGTCCACATGAATAACTTTTAATTTGAGCGACGAGGTTACCGTAACGATTCACTCTGACCATTCTGCGTTCTCTCCACGACAACGTAACTTGACGCTGAATGAGCGAATGCTTCAACGTGACCTTATTACGTTCTAGATCTTACCGTTTTTTTCGGAAAGGAATTATCAGTGTAGTTCCT